GCCCCCAACCAGGAGCGCCAGGCTTCCCCTCCACCACTTTTCCTCTCCAGGCCAGGGGCCCCCGGGCAGGGGAGGGACCCCGCTCACCCAGCTCCTACTCACCTTGAGGCCTTGTCGGCCGGGATATCCGGGGAGACCCGGCACCCCCAGTTTGCCCTGCCAGAAAAGGAAAGAAGGTCAAAAGAGGGGTGAGGAGGGGTGAGGTTGGGGGAGCCCCAGCCCCGAAGCCCCCCGTCCCACCACTCACCTTCTCACCCACAAGTCCAGAAGGGCCGGAATCTCCATGTGGGCCAGTCCGCCCCTTGGAGCCTTCGGGTCCATCTTCCCCGCGGGGCCCCGGGACGCCCACCTCGCCCTGCACAGAGAAGGTAGAGCGTTGTCCAAGGGGCTGGGGCCGGGCCAGGCAGCCCAGCACCCCCCGAGGGAGGACCTACCCGGTCGCCTTTCAACCCCACGTCACCCTTGACGCCCGGAAATCCTTCTTCACCCTGCAAGAACAAAGAAGGGTGGTGTGAGGGCACCGTTTCGAGATGGAGGAAGGAAAAGAAAAATACCACCCCAAAGCCAGGGGCCACCCCCCAGAACCAGAGCGCCCCGGCCCCTTCTGCAGCTCTTTCATCAGGCGCCTCCAAGCCCCAGCGCACCAACTCAGACTCAGAATCGCGCAGCAGAAGAGAAAAGGCGACCTCCAGGGTGGCTCAAAATGCTCCTTGGCTCGGAGTCACCTGCTGCCCACTCTCACGGGGGCCCGGTGGAAGGGAAGGGGGTGGACTGAACAACCTCAAGCAGCGCGGGGGGTGCATGTGGGGCTTGGTCCAGGTTCAGCCTCGGGAGCCCCCGCAGCGCAGCCATCAGAGTGTCGGGCGGGGGAGACCCAAATTCCAGTCCCCCCGCCATGCAAATCACTGGGCAACACTGGCCCCGACTCCCCCTCTCCCTGCTCAGCCCCCCTCACAGGGTTGTCGTGAGGATGAAACTGACACAGGAAAGCGTTAAACAGAGGGGAACTGAACCTCACCTTCTCGCCTTTTTGCCCTTTCAACCCACGGACACCGTCAGCACCCTGAAGAGGAACACGGAGTCATCGGCGTGAGTCAGACTACAAGCCCCATCCTTCCCAGCAGCAACTCCAGGACAGGGAATAAAGTTCTCCCTGAATGCATGAACAACACGCCGCACCGGATGTGCAGAGAAAGGACCCTTTTCTGGGCGGGGGAGGACCAAAGCGGGCTCCCGGGACCCCTTCAGCCACCTGGGTCCCCCTCCCTCCTGGAGCTCTTTCGCTGCATCAGCCCCCCTTTTTGAGAGCTCAGCCCCCCAGACTTCTGGGCACCCACAGAAGCATTCCTGCTCACCTTCAAGGCCCCGGGTGACCCCAGGGTGGCCCCTGCCCCAAAACAGTCTCCAGACAGACCCCACCCCCACCCAGGAGAGTCTCGCGCTGCTCTCCTCTCAAGTCCCCCCAAAACTCCGGGGGGGGGGGTGGATGCCCGCTCACCTTTGCTCCACGAGGACCTGGGTAGCCCACCAGACCTTGGGGGCCAGAGGGGCCCTGCAAGGGAGGAGGCAAGAGGCATGGATCAGGGCCGTGCCCGGCACACATTGGCATGACTTGGTCTGTGCACTGAACCCTAAAGCAGCCACACCAGGGCAAAGCTGTGGCCTCCCTATCTCATTCTCTCCCCCCCCGGCCAAGAATTATGACTTGACTCCCTGTTCCCTTGTAACCCCCCCCCAGGACTTTGGCCGGAAAAGCATTTAATGGAGCGGCCCTACCCTGCAGTGCCCTGCTTGGCATTAGTGTGGGTGCATTGCAAGGCTGCCCCCTACTGGAGAAATGCCAGTTGCTTCATGCTCCTCCACCTGGTGGCTCAAAGGGGAACTGCACCTCCAAAAGGGTCCCAGGGAATGGGCTTGTTGGGTCCCTAACCGTCTCCACCCCACTCGCAGGGCCTTAAGCTGGCCAACAATTAAAAGACCCAGTAAAAAGAACACGGTGGCTCTGAGACTGGCAGATTTACAGCTCTTACACGCTCCCAGGCGAGACAGACCCCTCACCGCCCCCCCCGGTCCTTCCTCCTCTCATCTCCTGCCCTGAAGCTCCAATTCTAAGCTCTCCCC